GGGGGGGGGGGGGGGTTGAGACATATTTTAACATACCAGCAAAATAAAAGTCAAACTATATAGAACGGCACATTTTTGACAACTCAAACTTTCTGACGAATATGAGGAATTTTACCTCTTGTTCTTATATAAATAACAGTTGAATTACAGGCAATATTATTTTGTAATTTTATTTCTCTATTCATCACAGATCTCAATATGAGTTCAGCAATGAAATGATGGTGGTCCAGGGAGGAGATCAAAGGATCGCGGCCGCCATCACCGAGTTCTACACAACGTCTTTTGGAAACGAGTTAAAGGACTGGCTAGAGTCCATTGACGAGTTTCCAAAAGCCTTTGAGTTCAACATGCAGCTCATAACCGACCTGCTGGACTTGAACTTCGACACGTTTTTTCCTCAAGGAAACGAAACAGTCGACTTCGGTTGCTTTGGAAAGTAAGCTTGTAAATGTATTGCAGTTTTATCGATCTCAGACACTGTATTACTGTATTACTGTAATATAGTGCTGTAATATAGTTACTATATTGGTTGTAGCTATATTGGTGGGATTCTGTTTGGCTGTTGAAACATGATAAACATAGACATTAATGCGTATAAAAAGGAATTTACGTGAAATGTCTCCACCGATTTACAAACCAAAGCCACCCTTTTGGCCAAGGCAATATTTCTAAAAGATAAGGCTCCTTCTGCAAATGGTGCAGATGTTCTAAGACAAATGATTTAATCATCTCAACAGCGAGAACAACCACCTGAAAATTGGCCAATCAGACCGTTGCATGTAGAGTACATGACAATTGGCTCTTGCTCCCCATACTAAACATGACAAAAACAATATATTTGATATAACATGGTGCCAGTTTACAGTGCAATCCAATTATCAAAACTAGCGGCAGCCAATCAGCAAAAAGAACCACCAACTACACATTAACCAATCATGTTGTAAAAATATAAAAGTCCTGGGGTATTTGCCTACTCGAACCCCATACCAAATATCAGGTATGTTTTTAGCCCCAAAATTAAGAAGCCCCATCAATAAAGAGAAATGACGAAAGTAGGAGAAGCCGGAGAAGAAGAAAGGTGTTTATTGGGTAAAAAAAATACATGTGCGCCAGTTGGAAAAACTTTCTTTTACAGCATCAGCAGGCTATATTAAAACAAAGCATTATATATAGATAAATTCTATAATGGTATTAACTTAACGTTAACGTAGATTTACACGTACACAAGGAATCGTTACTTGGGTACTCAAGCAACTGGATATATTGGGTACTCAAGCAACTGGATATATTTAAAAACCTACACATGTCATAAGGTACAGAATTGCCATCATTCACCATTAAGAAATCATAAAATTTTCGCAATAATTATGCAAATTAGGTCATCATTTGTATAATTGGTATCTGTTGACGTTCTATCTGGCATAAATTACATATATTACATGTATGAAAGTACATTGTACTATAATGTAAAACACTGTAATTATAGAATTTCCTCATTAATTATGTAAATTAGGTCCTCATTTGCATAATATTTAATCGTGTACATCAGCTACCTACCTACCTATCTGGACTTATTGGCTTTTAAAGATTTCGCCCGAAAGTCCCCTGCAGTTCCAGAACAAGCTGGTAGGGGGACCAAACACATACCACTTATTTCTGACAGTAAAATGTATCTGTCACCAAAAATTCAAGACCATAGCATGTTCAGGATAGGTTCGGCAGTTCTCCTGCAGTACCAAGGTCACCCACCAGGAGGCCCATATTTGACCTTGACCATTGTCTTTCTAAGACCTACCAGCATACCAAATATCACCACAATCCATAAAGGCGTTATGAAGTTATGCTGACTACAAATGTGCGGAAACACACACACAGACAGACACACAGACACGCCAAAAACAATACCTGCATTTTCATGGAGGTAATGAATGTAACTAACATAATCATCATGCCTCCGGACTATGAATCCGATGAGGCACACTTGATAAAGTTACTCCAGTGTGTCCTATCTCTCATAGCGGACACTAATGCAGTCCCTGCGAGACCAGCGTCTCTCTCTAACATGGACAGAAGTCCCACTCTACGTCTCCCAGTAGAAAGCCACTGTACTAGTCTACAAGCTGGTTCGTTACTACAAACAAAATGCCCTACAAGGGCGAGTCTACGTCGTCGGACTACAGATGAAATGGGCCATAGAGTTGTTTGATTGTTAGATGTTTCCTCCATGAAACATTATACACTTTTGTCTCATTCTGGCTGTTCTTGACTATGACGGGGCAAAGTTTACTATTACAATGTCCCTTCATCGTCAATTTGATATAAAGAATAAAGCTTTGTTCTGTCATCTTAATAATATACAACCTCATTTTCTCTGTAGACGAGCAGGGGAGATGAAAACAGATAAACAAGGTTACAAGTATTACGTCCAGAACATCGGTGCCGGCGCCAACAAGACAGGCAACCGCACAGAAATCCGCTACTGCAAGTTTGGAGCAAGAGAGGATATTGAAAATTCCATATATGAAAGAAGACTGGCCCTCAAGCGGGCCATTGGTGTTTATTTATTGGAGGTATTTCATGTTGACTACCTACAATTAAACACGCGTTGTGAAACTAATTAATGGTGAAAACAATTATCATTTCTGAAATTTTGTAGGTAAAATTTATTACATATGATATAAAAAAGAAAAACTTTATACTAGACAGTTTTCATTTTATATATGTAAGAATGTCTTATTTCAGGGTCCCTTCGTTCCCTCGGAGTTCCAGATCCCGGCCGGAGAGCCCGGATGTGAAACTGCTGAGTTAATGTTTGACGATTCAGACGTTAGTTCCCCCAGTTGGGACGAATTGACTGGTGGAAATGAATTCAAAGTCATTTTTGATTTACCGTACAAAATTCCAAATCTTCTTGCAGCCAAGGCTGCTCTCAATGTTAAATTTGTGACCAAGTTTAAAGTATGGTTGACTATCAGAGAGGGTCTTAAGCCCCATTTATATGATGGACACCAGAATGGCAACAGCGGCGAAATCTCACAGCGCAAGGTAACACTTTATTTCATTGTCACTAAGGAGCATTAGATTTACGTAGGGGGTATGTTTGAAATATATTTCAGAATGCCAGCTTTTTGTCCATGGATTTTTTGTACATGCTGTACATGTGTAATACGCTTCAAGAAGATACAAAGCTAAAGGTGGACGTTTTAAAGCAGTTTATTGCACAACACACACAGCCATATATTGCACATGGCCATGTTTTTTTAAACGTTTTACCATACTTAATCAATGTTACTCCCAGATAAGTGTTGGAGGACTAGTTATGACGTATGAAGAGGATACGGGCACCTTTGTGGTGACGTCAGAGGACTATGAAGCGTCAAAGTTAGTCATTCCCGACCTACCTGCCTGGATCAACGGAATGCGTGTTGCCAGAGCAGAATACAAGTCACTACGAGAACATATTAATAAAAAGTACGTCATTGTGGAACCATGTTACCAATACAACTGCTCGGTTAACACTACACAAACAGTACACCTGGGACCACCTGGGACCACAGCACTATATTTTCTGTAATATCTCCTTTTTGTTTCTAAGGTTTTTTTCACAAAGTTGTCCATCGAAACAGTGCAGAAAACTCAGTTTCCCCCATTTTTTCAAAATTTTAATTTCTGATTTTCTTTTGGGGTCCGCGGACTTCGGTTGTAATGGATACACTGGCGTTCTTATACATTACTTTATTTTCGTTTTTATATCTTTTTATGCACTTATCGTATTGCCACCAAATTGAGAGAATGGTGTAGTAATAGAATTAAATTTAACAACGTTGGTGTAATTAGGACGTTATATTACTTCAGAGCTAATGATGTGGTCCGCCATCTTGGATGTTAACCAATGACGTCATTAAATTAGCATATATTATGAATATTAGATGATTTAACTCATCTTTAATTATGTAAGATGTTAATAAGAAGTGTTATTTAATTTTTTTCAGATACATTTTAAGAAAGGTCACCAATTTGAAATTTGATGGTTCTGGCTCAAGCCGTTCAGGCGCTATCTGAGATTAAAGACCACTCGTTCTGAATAGGGTTTAAAAATCGGGAATTTTTCCTTTTGTCTTTTCTTCACTAAAAAATAGGTAAAGGTCAAAATGTATGGCTCTTGTACGTAATGTGGACTCAGAGATTTGCACATCAATTTGCATAACAATTGAGCTGGTAGCATGTTGATAATTTCTAAAAATTAGCAAAAAACTGTTCTGGGGTCCGCGCGGACCACAGGTGTACAGATTAATCAGTCCGGGAAGGTGTACTGTTGAGGGTTAATATTATTATTTAACTAGAACACAGCATAGACTTGATCTAGTTTGTTTGCTGAGGAGCGAGCATTATATAAAAAATGAGGGAGCAGTGATTTAACATGGTTTACCATTAGCCATTTGCATTTTATTGTTTTTAACGGTAAAACTTTCATTGTTTTTAACGGTTTACTGTTAAACTACACAGATTTATTTAAAAAAAGACCATTGAGTCTGTCACTTCCCTGATTGTTTTGCCTCTTTCATTCCTTGTTCTTTCCGCTTGACTCTCCATTTTGCCTTGACGTATGGAATTCAGAGGAGGGCCCTGACTAGCACGGGCTTGACGATCAAGGTCGTTTGGAAATTTGACTAAGAAGGATTTTTTTCTTTAAGTTTATGAAAACTCCGCCAGTTTACATCTACTACAATAACGTGTTTTTCCTCCCCTTCTTTAGCTCAGATCATGGTCAACAAGTGCATATGCCCTGTAACATGTGGTGGTCAAACGCCCTCCGCATCGACCCTACGAATGGAGGAAAGTGCATCCATTTTACGGCTGCATCAGAGGGAGACATATTCATCGTGTTTGCGGGAAGCCCAAAGGATCAGGAAACATGGATCACTGTAGAGATATCTACCAGTGGCGTTGTTTTCTATAAGGTTATTTGTGTTTTTCCTAGCTGAGATAGCAGATACCTACGAATTTACTTCGAATTGTGTACTTTAGCTAACTTAAAGGCAACTTGATATTTGTTAAACATTTATTCAAACAAATTGGAAAATATGTACAGGTATTGTATCTTACATCACCACAAAGCCTTTTCATTTATTTATTCTTAGTTCCTTTATCCAGAAGGTTATGTGTAGGTATACCATATATTGGTATTTTTAAAATCCCTTAAATCATTGTAGGGATTTTTGCGACGAATCTTATCGTATGGGGTAAAAACTGATCCCATAATGTTTGCACCAATATAGTTTTTGTGTGTCTCTTTTGTTGTCATTTTTTAGTATTTATAGTTCCATCAATCTATGAGAGACGATTTGACATGAGTAGTTTTGAAAAATGTCTGCTCATTATCATAATTTATGCAAGGAATATGCTTACAGCGAGCCAAGACGATTACCTTCGACCCCAATTCCATACGCAACTAGGTGTAGTTTCACACACAATTTTTGAGTTTTCTAATTCAACATCCAAATGGCAGCAGACAACTCAAGCAAATACATTGCCTGGAGCCTGGAAGAAATATTGACGACAGCAAAAGACTCACATATGTTAAAGAAGCAGAGGTCAGTTTTGACCCCACTGGACCACGCATATATTTTCTAGAATAACCCAATCAAAAATGTTCCAATCTAAGTAAAAACGTGTGAGAAGTTATAAGACGTATGAACAAACAAACTCATTGAACAAACAAACTCATTGGAGTTTTCGACACGAACTGTCAGAATGGCACATATCATTATACGCCCGGGGTCAGTTTTGACACCAAACGGTGGTTTTAAGGTCAACGTTAATAACTCCTCAAGGTATCTGATAGATTAGTTGGAGCTTGGACGACGAAGGTCAAGGTTAATTATTAATAAATTAATATAGCGGTAGAGCAGCGATGTTCATGGTTTGTTGACTTGCGTTGTGTTCTTGTATTGATATTTGGTAGGTAGATTTGAGTTATAAGAACAGCGGTCAAGGACAATTATGGTAATCTAGCGGCTTTGTACGGTGCTGCAGCGGTAAGGGGGATATCGTAAATATGTTAACCCTATCTAGACCGGGCTTTTTTGGGCTTGGTGGGACCGGG